TTCTCATCCATATAGTTAGAAGCTTTACTTATGAAAGCACAGTAAGGTAATAGATAAAATGAATGAAAATTAACTATTATGTTTAATCTTCCCCCTCAAGCATAAAGCTATAGCATCCATAAACTGACAGACATGGCTTCTTGGCTGCACGTATTTGCCTAACATATCAACATCTTGCATCTAAAAATATATGGCAAAGAGAGTTTTGAAACCTTAGGTATCTCCTTATAGATTATGAGAATCTTCAGTGGGGAAAGTAACCAGTTAGTTTGAACAGGGCGTTCCAGGTTTGATTAGGGTAGGAGACAGAGAGGTGCTCAAAATTACAATTTATGATTGATATTCTGTGGTAAAAGTTGAGTTCAGTTAAATTATTATGTGCAAGCAGCACAGATATGCTGTTAGACAGCCAGGACTGAGTGTTGGTTTGGGGGGTTTGGTTTTCTTTTTGTAAGTATGAAGTAGAAATGTTTGATCTCCTATCGTACCAAAATGACCTCACTACTTGAAGTAGTCCTTGTTTCCACTCTCACAATTGCCATTATGAGCCAGAAGTCACTTCTGGATTTACCTTTTAGGAAAAAAAGCAAAACCAAACAAACAAACACCACCACCATGCCCTCCAAAGAAACCCCCAACCCCCCAACCAAAAAAACCCAAAAAACCCTCAAACACACAAAACCCTTGCACTCATAAGAACATAATATTATTCTGTTATATCAGCAAGAAGACAAGGATATACCTGTGAAAGATATGATGGGTCCAGTTCTGTGATTGCCAGTTTTATTTTTGGAATACACTCAAATCTGCGGAAAAGGTCTGTTGTCACAACGCCTAGTGAGAAGGTGACTGCATTACTGCCCTGGTCCTGTCTCTTGACATCTTGTCAAGAGGGGTTTTGCAATTTGGGGGGTTTTGCATCCTCTGTCCAACAGTTACAAGCTGTAGGCCTTTGTACAGTGGAGTTTCCTGCATGTGACTTTATGTAATGTACAGTAGTTTTTGTCAACCAGTGAGAGTCTTGGGATAATTTTACTTAATGCTGATGGTCAAAATCAGAACCAGAGAGTGAGAATAATTGCAAAATTCCATGCATTAACTAAATATTATTCTGGGGAAAGGGAATCTTCATATTTTTGCTTTGGGGTTCTCATCAAACATGTGTCTTGCATTACCTTTCACTAAATATCTCTTTGACTGTTTCTGCTTGTGTTAAACAATCAGGAACATATTTGGCATGTAGTTTGTTTACTGCTTAACAATGAGGACCACTCAACAATTAGAAAGTTTGTCCTAGACTTCAGGCTGCAGATAATATCTCTAGCTTCCTTTTTAGTTATTTTTTTAAAAAATTGTTTAAAGCAGAGTTCCAGAATCCAAACTAAAAAGGAGCTGTGTATTGTGTCTGAGGCTTTAGATCTTGTAGAGATTGGATTTATCAAACTTTTGTTGTTCCACCTTTTAATGGCGTCACTTGTCTGTAGCCTGTAGGCCCAGACTAAGCAGCTGATTTTTTTATTGTTTTATTTTTAAATGTAGGAATTGCTTTAGGCATTTATGCTAATATTCATATTTTCTGAATTAGTGTTGTATTGTTACAGCCATTCTATTGGAAGAAACTATAGTATTCATGCAATTGAGTAAAATGGGAATTAAATGCATAATAGAGATTAGTATAAAAGTTGACATAAAACCTATATTTTAAATAAAGCCAGACAAAACTGGTAGCTGCTACATAAGAATATTTTTTTCTGTTGCTGTTCTGTCCCATTCACCTGACAGTCATGTTCTTCGGTACTCTTTTGATGTCATTGTGGTTCAGAATTTTGGCAGCAAAGACAACCTATTCTTCATGGGGACAGTGCTTTTTTTCCCCCCCCTCTGATCACTGGCAAAATGTGGCACTCAGTAAATAGTTATTCTGCTGTCCATCAGCTCACTTTCAGAAAAAAAAGCAGCTTCTTTCTCCTGCTAAGTTTTAGGCCAGATTCCTTTTAGAGACTTGAAGGGATTTACTAGGCCACTAAATCTGGTTTTATAGCATTGTCAGGAATCCTGCCCCCTAAGAAATCATGTTCTAGCCTGCATCATAGCATAGTTAATTTATGTGGTTCTTTTTCCTCTGGTGTTGGTCCCCTTGCTATATTTGTAGACCTGACCTTGGTAGCTCTCTGAGCTTTAGATTGCTGATGAGTGATAGAAACAGCGATTTCACAATTTGAAGAAAGTATCATAGTATATGGGTGCTGACACCATTAGAAGTGGGAGAGTCCCAAGAACAGGCTCCAGCTCATCCTTGCTCGTTGGGCCTCTAAGAGAGCACGGTGTAGTTCTTGTTCCTTTTGAAAGGTCAAGTTGTGGACTCTTCCATAGTCCTAGGTACGTTCACACCTGAATGCAGTTGTAACATTGTTTTGAGGGAGACCACTTAAGAAAAGCTATTTTGCTCTCTGTTTTCTTCTTTTGTTTTGTTTTACTCCTGGCCAACACAGTAGCCTGCATCAGTTCCATTTCTACTTCATTTTTGCAGAGTATGAACAAGAAATGTACACACTTACTCCGAATGAGCTCTTGCCATTTTGTGTGACTATTGTTGTTTCCTTATAGGACTTCTGGAATGGGTTTGCATTCATTTTTAATTAACTTTTTTGGTCAGCTTCGGGATAGATTTCTTGTTCAAAATAAAGGCAACAAATGACTCCCTCTGTATGTTGATGACAAGCAAGCTTAAGTTATTCTATTATTGAGAGATGGTTCAGACTTGAGCAAAAGCAATAATGGTGGGGGCTGGAATCAACAGTTTTCCCCAACATCTTCTATATCGAGTTCAGTCTTATCAGTGGTGTTGGAGTGGACGACTTTAAGAAGTAGTATTTGAACTTTAGCATACCACATTGTTTTTTTGTGTTGCTCTGCCTTTTCTGGAAAGATGGTTTGGTAGCAACACCAGCTAAAGAGTTTCTCTTTTTGAAATTTCACACCCACATTTTTTTTCTGATGGAATGCAAGATACTTTTTTGGTTGCAGATTGCAACATAGTTGTTAGAAAGACTTAATCCATACCTTGCTACTCAAGATGTATTTTATTTTGTAATCCTTTTGTAGCTGCAAAGAAGTAAATAGGTAATAGCTTCTTTTTACAACAAGAAAGTCAAATATCATTTGTTCCAGCTTTATGTCAGTTCCAGGCTTAAATGAGATTTGTGTTCCATTTAAAAAACATTTAGAGTGATTATAGCCTATTAGAAGGGTAGTTCAGGGCATTCTAACTACATTTTTCCATATTATGTTAGTTTTCCTTTTGAATTCAGAAAATCTGACTGCTATATCCTATTTCAGTCCATTTGACTTCAGTTTTAAATTCCTAATAATATATTACATGGATTAGACAATTGCATAGGAATTTCTTGCTAATTTCTGACAGATGATGTCGTAGCTATGCCTTGAATTTAGGTCTTTAACCTTGTGAATGATAGTTATGTCAAACTTGGTTTCTAAAGTTACTATCTGCAGTTCATGAACTGCTGTATTTTCTCTTCACTGTAACTAGTCAGGAATCTATGAGGAAAGGAGGACGAAATATCTTGATAACTGATGATTATGAAGGTTTAAGTAAAAAAAAAAATTAATAAAATGACTGGGGAGCCAACCACATCCTCAGAAAATCTAGACTACAAGCACCATGAGTTTCTCAAGTTTCTTTTCCTAAACAGTCACAGTGGCAGAGTTCTGGGTCAGGTTTTTATTAGTTCTCTTCAGCAACTGCTCAAACATCAATGTACAAACCTGTTTGAAAACTTAAGTGAATAAAGTTAACCACAGGACAAACGTTTTGTGGGTACTTCTACGGTTTTTAAGATGTGAATTGGCTCATGACATTCTTTACTCTGGCTAAATTAAATCTACTTTTAAAAATCTCATTTCTGTTAGTTAATTTCTAAATAAGCTTATCAGTGGTGCTGTAGATGATACAACACCTTGGTGCTAAGATAGAAACTGTGTAACTTGAAAAAAATAGGTATATGCTTCCCAAATGCAGTGTAAAAAGACCTTGAACTTACAGTTCTAATTATCTGGCTTTTCTTCTTTCCTCCCAGTGATTCATGAAGGTTTTATTCAGTGTGTTTACTACAGTGTAGAACTCAGCAACCTGAGTAGATTAAATATTAACCTCTTCCACCTACATAATGGTTGTAGTCCTGCACAGGAAAGTACTTCATCCGGTATCATGTCCTTTTACAGATAAGGGTCCTTTCCTGGCATTACTTGCTTCTCATACCAATGATATAAAATTTAAAGTTGAATTCAAACAGCTTAGAGCCCTGTGGAATACAGTCTGTGAATTACTTACTGCTTTTCTGCTTGCAAAGCAAATGTGTACAAAAGTGTATTTTAGTGGCTAATTTTAACCCCCTAAAGCAAGATATTTTGATGGTTTGATTTTTATGTTTTTGTTTATTTTAAAAACAAAAAAAGCTTTGAGACCTTTTGTATTCCCTAAAAGCAATCAAAGAAAATCCCAATATGTACGTGGTTATTTTGCTTTTTAAATAAAATTCATATTGGCGCCTACTACGTCAAACATTCAAATAAAATAGAAATTCTCACAGTTTTAGCTTACATCAAAGATGGAAGTCATTGTGTGGTTTTGGAAACCAAAGCAATTCCAAGATAGACACAGTTGGAATTTTTTTTATATGACAGCCTGTTTCATACACTTAGTAACATCAGTGTGAAGTTGAAAGTGTGCATCCTTAATGAAGTCTAGGGGAACTTTTATTGTGACTCTTTTAGGAATAAGATTCAACTAGGTGACATAGTTACTTGCATTTGTGACGGATGTATGCAGTAGAAGCAAATTTAAGAAATAATTAAATTACTCATTTTTAGATGTGTATATAGAATGCAAGGTACTAATTCTTGAATTTGTTCTTAGTAATGAGAAATATCTTGTGCATTTTTCTGCAGATTAATACTAATAGTTGGGTTTCTTTTGGCAGGTTGTCAAGTTGTTAAGTAACAAAAGATCTCAAGCTGTTGGAATATTAATGTCTAGCCTTCATTTAGACATGAAGGACATTCAGCATGGTAAGTGAAATAAGTATTGTTGATTCTAGCTCAGATCACATCTTTAATATTCTGGAGATGCTAATTATTTCTGTCTTTTGATAGGTAAAATAAATTAATAAGGTTTTTTTTTTTTTTACACTCTATTTTTCTGAAAATAGTTTGTTCTGGCATTTATTTTCCCCTTTCATATTCACTTGTCCTGTGTAGAGAATAAAGCTGTTTCTTTGCAGAATTGCCATCTATAGTTTTTGGCACCCATTATCTAAGTGGCATAAAGCACAAGCCCTTTGATATTGGTCTTTCTGAGGAAGATGGCATGATGTGTTGTTTATTTTAATTCGGTAGCCTCAGGACACATCCAGGCAAGTGAATTATAACATTTAATTGATTTGCTATATAAAATAGTTCCTATATTTGGTTTAACACAAACTGTGGACTACTTTCATCTTCAACAGCATTTTTTATAAAAGGACATCTTCGGGGAGTGTAATACTTTTCACATTTATGCTAAGAGACAGTAGTGCAAAAAGGTGAAAAGTGGATTGCATTTATATTCAGAGCATCCCTTATGTTTCCCAAAGGCTTTGGATAGATTTGAAGCAGATTGAATTACCCTGTGAAGTGCCAGCCTACCTATTAAACAAATGTGGTTTTGAGTATAACACAGACTCCATAAATCACAGAAACATCTTGTGAACTTTCTAGGCTACATATTTACAGCCATGCATTCAGTTTACTATGATTTGCTTATTTGTGAAAATATTCATAAATAGAACAAATTTCAGAGCACTCTGTCAGCTAGTGAGTAAGTTTTAATCACAGTTTTAAGTTTTTATTAAACTGTTTTGATGGTTACTAGACTTCCTCAAGCTGAAGCACTTAAGATGGTAGTCATAGAGCAAGGCGCCAGTACTGGCGCCAAGAAGTACTTGGTATTTCCAAAGCTGGCAGATGTAGTTCAGTTAAGTCATAGAGCAAAATCTGAAAACAATGATATGGTCCTTCCCTTCAGTCAAATATTCAACTTGGTTTCAGTTAATAATGAGAACCTTATGAACAAAGGAGTCCGCCTAACATCTGTGTCTGTGGTAAAGCCAACACAAGTTCATTGAAAATTTGCTTGCTTAACATGCAACACTAACAATAACATGGCATGAATGTCAGTAGTTGAAGGGGTCAAACAATATTATGTTTAACCTTTATCCTATTACAATATTAAGTACAAATGATCATCTAAGAACTGTGTGCAGATTTTGTATATTCCTCTTTCAATAGCTGTTTTCTAAAACAAAAAGTCTTTGCAAAGGGGAATTTAGTGGTGCTCTTATTCCCTTGCTGTGCAGAAGTGATTGAACAAACATGAGAGAACTTTTGTCTGATGGGGGAATTTGTGGAAATACTTGAAAGATGCTGGTGTTAATTTTTTTTTCTTTTTTAAGAATATAAAATAGGTGTGGAGGAAAAGTGGTGAGGAGCAGAAAAGAAATTTGCATGGTGGGGTCAAGGAAAATAGAGGAGATATCTCACCAAGAAGTATTTCTTGCATCAGTCACTCTGTGCAGAGCTCTCTGAGTGGCCTAACCATAGAGCCTGTGGAGAAATTATAAAATCACAAGCCCAAGTATTTAGCTTTGCCTCTATGTGTGCACTATTTTTACTTGCTTGTTAAGAAGTGTTTTACATATTTTTGAGTTTTATAGCTTACCAGTTTATCTGCTACAATTTGAATATAGAAATGAGAAGGTACTATCAAAAATTAAAATGATGTTAAAAAGTGACTGCATTAGCAAAATAGGCAGTTGATATATTCGCATCTTTATACATAAAGATTTAAGAGGTATGACAACAACTACAGCAAAAAATGTTGATCAGTGTTCTTTGTCCCCTGGCCCAGGGTTTTAGTGGTGGCCTTGAGGTTTTGCCATGTTTAATGTATAGTGAGGTGAACATTTACCCATATCTCACTCAGTACAACACAAGCAATGTTTTTTTATAAATTTGAAAGGCAGTCAAATTAAACAGGGGTTTTTTTTCCCCATTCTGACAATTTGTGGTGCTAAGCAACTTTCTTTATGGCCTTTCTTGTAAATATTCCCTATATTACATATAAAGCATATCTGTGGGATGCAGTGTTCATGCAAATTGCAGAAGAATTGTGATTTTTTTTTTTTTAAATTTCTTTTTTTTTACTGGCCAAAGAAAAGCACCCAGAGAGAGAGAGAAACTTTCAATGCAGTGTGGTATTCAGTCCATTTCTTGGTTTGCATGCTATTGTGGTTTATTTTTCTAATGGTTGAGACAAATTTCAAAGTGTTACAGCAACAGAAGGGGAAACAATTGTGCAGGGTATTAATTCACCTAATAAATTTAGGATTTCAAGTTTTAATTCATATTGTGTATAACTGAAGAGCTGTAAATAACTTGAAACCTGGGAAAATGTTGTATTTAATGTCTTGTAAATTTTTTTTTGGTTGGTTGGGGTCTTTTGGTGTATTTTTGTTTGCTTTTTAAGATACAAACCAATAACAAAGTATTCTCTGCAAGAAACAATCCTTAATGAAAGATTGTTTTGGAAACTTGAAAATTTGACTTGTTTATGATATTTTGTTAACTGATCTTGAACACAGCTACTTTTTCATGCATGTGCGATCAGATGGCATTTAGTGGAAGATCTCAGAACATTGTAATATATGCTAAATAGCTTTCTTTGATGGTGATGATATCCTTGTTAAGTGTCTGCTTGTAGAATTAATTTGTCTGCTCCTGACTTTGAAATGGGTTTAGTAAGACACTCCCCAACTCCATCTGCTTTTAACATATTTTTACAGTTGTGGAAGGAGTAGTTGTAATAATGGGAGTGCGTTTGCACTGAACTCTAGTATGTCTTTCTAGTACTGCTTTAAAGTAGGGTAGGTTGATTTTTTTGTTGTTGTTATGGGGTTTTTTTAGTAGATTCTAATTGCTAACAGAACTCCCAGCTATTTTATGCAGTCTAGGCTAGAACCGTAAGAAATGTTGGTCTCTTCAGTCACAGTGCCATTTCTCTATGTTATTAGTGCAAAAATGAGTCCTCTTCTCATGGTTTCTCTGGTTGCACACAAAGTTTTAATGATGCCTATTTTTTTCCAATCACCTATCAACTATGCAAAATGTTTTTTCCAGGCATTTTGATTGCTTTCTTATTTTTGTTTTACTGCAAATATCCTTTATTCAGTATTATGTTCCCACTGGAAATATAGTTGTATTTGCCTGCATGATATAGCCAAAGCTTGAGAAATGCCAAACCAAGGACTTCTTAGGTATTTTTCCTTTGTGGCTCAGATTTTCTTCCTAGAGAAAAGACTTTGGTTTTAACATTAGTCTTTTGGGGTTTTTTCTTAACATTTCAGAGGTGCAACATGTGCTTAAATTAGAGATCCCACAAGATGCCATTTAACTGCATATAGTAATCTATGATGAACACCCTATATATTAATACATAATTGCATGTGAAGCCTGCATCTGCATTTAGGACCATGTCTCTTAAATTAGCACTTTCTTTTTAATAAAGTTGTCTGTCATCACATGAAATATAACAACTGTTTGAAATTGTAACTATGTTCCAGTGAATATGGTTGTCAGTGCCTTCCCCAATCCCCCCTGCTTGTAAAGATAAAGTGTATCCTCTTCTGTGTTTAAGCTTTTATGACTGTTAACAAGTGCAGTAAGAATAGCAAAAAATTCTTCAGGGTGTGTGGAAAAATAGAAGGAAAAAATTCAGCTGAAAATGTCAGCCAGAAGAAAAGCAAATTTTAGATTTCATGCAGGTCAATATTATGTTTACTACACAGTCACATTTAAATCTAGTATTTATTTCCAAAATGGAAATTAAAAATCCTTTGTTCAACAAAACCATCTTAGTATGAGTGTGCCTTGCAAATGTTGAAGGTAGAATTCTGGCAAAACCAGCATATGCAATTCTCTGTCTTCTGAAGTTGTCTGTAGTATTTTCCAATTCTGTAAGTTTCTCTTAATGGGGTTTATCATTTCAGGCACTGGGTTACCTCTGGCATGGCTGCAGTACTCTAACTATATTTCTGCAAGTTTTTACGTAGCACCTCATGATTGCCCTGGCTCTGTTGGAAGTAGCTTGGAGAATTCTGACTCTGAAGTTTGCACCACCTTTCTTCTATCCTCATTTGTTTAGTCATTTTCTCCCCCTCTCTGAGGTAATCTACAGAATTTGATGGAGTTGCCTGTCCCACTCTGATAGCTGAAAAAAAATACCCCAAACCAAACCCACAACCCCAAAAACCCCAAACCCCCATATGGAAGACCAAGGCTCATTTTATTACAGCCCTCAACTCATTGTTGGTCAGTAATACAAGGAAAGGAGGTTATATAAAGGAATGTGATAGGAAAAATAGTTATGGAAATGGCAGGCAGTTTCACCTAACAGCTGGTCAAGCCCAACCTTTTAATCTGGATTTGAGATTATTTTACTGAAAATTGTATTTGTGGCAGAGCTTGCTTTGCTAACAGAAGTACAACTATGAACAACAGACGTGTCTTCTGCTCTTAATTCAAGACAGATGTGCAGGAAGTGAATGTACTTTAAATGTTAGTGCACAAAATAAATGTTTATTCTTTAACATTTGGCTATTAGTGACAAAGGAACATGAGAAAATCTTGGTTTTGTTTTCTTACTTGACTGCTCACACTGACACTTAGAAATGATGAGCTAGGAGAGACTTTGTCAAAGGTTAACAGAATTTCACTGGAGGAGGGGGATAAAATGTCTCTTACAATGTATTATGTAAATGTTCTGGGCAGGAATTCTTCATGCATTAAAGTATCGTGTAGTCTCAGTGGTCATAGGTCCAAGAGATGCTGTAAATGGAAAGCAATTGGGAAAGAATGACTCAACATGTGGAAAATAAAACTCATTATTAGTTTATCTTATGGAAGGTCCAGAGGTGATCTAAGCATTATTTATCCTAATAACAATGTATGTGTATAGGCATAATCATTTGATACTC